TGTCATCAGTTATACTGCATGTATAACTGAAAAAAACCTAGATTCTAAAACCGAAAAAAAAAAAGAAGAGAAAGAAAAAAAAAAACCACCTTCAAATTGAAAAAGAATTCAGAAAAGATTTGCGCAAGCACACAACAAAGAAAAAGGTAGCTTCAAATGAATTTTGGGATACTGGGTTCCAATCGCCTGAAGAAATAAAGAAGCTCCAAAGAAAAATAGCGAGTCAAAGATTCAAATGAAAAATAACGTGACAAAGTACATAAATAAAACCATAAAAAGTAGACAAACCCAGTAGATCGAAGAGGCAGGAGAGGCAGGAGAGCTGGCGGTGGAGGTACACGGAACTACGGTCTGCGATTGAAAACCTTAATTATTCACCCATTTACTAAACTTAATTATTCACCCATTTACCAGCAAAGGGATAAAATTTATCAGTGAAGATAAATCTGAAATTAAACAGAAAGACTTAGGCAGTTCATCTTCCAAATCCACAACCAAAAATGACTTTGGAATGTTTATTTGACATCAAATGTTTACGGACTATTCACTTTGACATCTTACTTGGAGTATTATTTTAGTGTGGATGTTATTTAAATAATTTGGCAGCATTGTTAATCCCTGCAGGTTTCACAGAGTTTATAAGAATCAACATGTTAAAATATACCAGAGAGCCAAGGCAATGGGAGGAAGGTGGAGTATAGTACACATTCTTAATTTTATTAGTCAACTGTACATTCACGTACAATATCTTTTTCCGATTTTAAAACTTAGATAAACGAGCATTTGGCTCCTACGACTTTGAGCCGTATAGTTGAAAGGTAATCATTAGTTTAATATATCAATCATCGTAAAAATCTCAGTTCTGTGCCTCTTGTGGTGTTCAACCATTCATATATCAATCAAGCATGGGGATCTTTTATTTCACTACATATTGTTTCCTAGGAATCTACAATGTCCAAAGAAGATGATTTTGATGCATGAACAATGCAACCAATTCAGTTCAGGCAATAATCTTAACCTTGCATAAATCACAACAATGATGCATGCAATCCCAAGTAGAACATGTTAAAAAGAGCAGTTAAAAGGGAAAGTCAGGAAAAAATTAAACGACTTCATGTTAACGAAACATTCTGGATTCATTGGACATTTTAGCAAATGCAGGTTAGATCCAGCATGGTGAAATTGGGTGTGTGTAGCCAACTTCAAGTTTATGGGGAACAAAGGGTAGTTCTTGTTGTTGTTTCACTTATTCTCTTCAAATATGTTTTGGTGGGTGGAGGTGGAGTCGGACAGCGGTCTGTAAGATGCTCTATATACCTGCCAACCTACACCACGGCTGAGAATAGATGGTGGCATTGGGGTTGCATGGCATATCTTGAGACAGCGAAAAAGGCACCTGTAGACTGCATTTAACATTAGAAAACATGTGAAAAAACAAGACTTAGCTATATCGAATTAAAACATCAAAAGGTAGCAC